TGGACAGATGAATGGATGGATAGGTGAGTAGATGGATGTATAGGAGAGTAGATGGATGAAAAAGTGAGTAGATGGATGGATGGATTGATGGTTAGATAAGTGAGTGGATGGATAGATGAGTGGATGGATGAATAGGTGAGTGGATGGATGGATAGGAGAGAGGATGGATGGATAGGTGAGTATATGGATGGATGGATGGATGGATGGATGGATGGATGGATGGATGGAATGGATGGAGTGGCTTCTCTTCTTCTGGACATGGCAAGGCATAGACACCAATATTGACACATGCTTCCAGCCTGAGGGTGGCTCCCAGCATGGATAGAAGAAAACAGAGCCAAGAGGCTCACACAGAATGGACATGGGAACGAGGAAACTGAGCATAACACCCAGGCAAATCAATTCCCTGCTCCGGAAAAGCTGCTCAAGTTGGGATTTTGGCCACTGGCAGCTGAAACACCTTCTGTGACTAGGGGCTTAGGCAGTCACTTAAGAAGGCTTCAAGAAATCACTCTACAGAAGTACGAAATTAAAGTGGTAGGTTGGGCTCACCGTGGAGCCCCCACAGGCTGGTGACTTCCCCTGCTGGCCACAGTTCAGGCTCCCTCATGGGATTTATTGACTATCATCTGATGTCAACAGCAGCCCTGGTTAGCATCCTTCTCAGTTAACAATGAATGCAGGGAGCTAAAAGTAACTTCCACCCTTGCAGTTCAGGAAGCATCAGCCTTTAGAGGAGTTCACCTGGCCTGTGCAAGGTCACAGCTCCCTTACGTAGGAGGGCTCAGGAAGGTAGGCAGGTATGTGAGGATGAAAACACATCCCAGCGCACCACACCCTTCACAAGAGCCCTTGCTAAGGTTCCTGTCCTTTCATCCCATATCTGCAGGTGGTACTCCCTGATGGATGCCTCTAAACCCTGCAGCCGCCACACTGCCTCCATGCCTGCTCCAGCTCTGTCTCGCTACCAAATCCAGTTCCGCAGGTCCCCAACCATCTGTGCTTTGAGGCTCAGCTACTCCACCAACCTGCAGGCCATCCACACTGGTCAGCTACATGCCAGTCTGATTCCCAGGTCTATCTCCCTCTGACCAGGGCTGTGCCCCTCCCAATATGTCCATCCCCTACTTTCTTGCTACCCAAATGCCAACCATTCTTCTCCTTTCTAGGCTCTCCTCATGCTCTGCTTCCTCCAGGAAGCCTTCTCTGATCACCAGCTCAGCCTGAATTACCTTTTCTCTGAGCACTTGCAGTGTTTGGGTCTCTCTGTCCATGTTACGTCATTGGGTGCGATAGAGTAAACCCTCCACGTACGCTCCCCAGACTGCTGACTGGTCTCATGCTTGTGCTTGCAGAGGTTTGCCTACAAGGAATAGTGCTGTGATCGGCTTCATAACTGTGTGATCTTGGGTAACATCTTAACTCAACATCTCTGAGTCTCAACTTAGTCATCAAGAAAAACGGAAATAACATGAACTTCTGGGGATGCTATGGAGATTAAATGAGAAAACATGTCAAATACCCAGCAGGGTTTCTAGAATCTCATAGGCAATCACCATGGTAAGGGGCTTCTTCCCTTTGTCACAAAAACCTACCATGTCCGAACATGTCCAAGCATGTTCACTAGACTGCACTGATTCCTTAGACAAATCCTAAGATATCTAGTGTCCACAAAACTGCCTCCTTTTACAGAAAGTCTAACTTTCAGAAATGTCAGTGGGGACATGAGTTCTGCCACCACCACAGCCCTCCATAAGAGACACTCTTCTCTGCCGAGGCTGAATCCGGCCTCAGAATCTCACCTAACACATTCCTCAAAGTAGCCACTACTGACTAATAAGAGTTGGCAAAAGAGAACAGAAGTGTTTGTCCTCTGTGAGTTAACACTTTCATCTGAAAAGCAGTTACTGCAGGCCTGGTGTGGGCCAGTCTGTGTGCCAGACCATGAACTATGGTGGAGACAAGAGGAAGGAGAGGGAAGACCTGTGATCCTGTCCACAGGTGCTCAGGTGTGGTAACAACCCAGGATGAGGAAGCTCCAAGTGCTGAGCGGGCACTCCAGGTCTCCGCCAGGTGGAGGAGGCTCTGAGACCTAAGGAATGAGCAGGAGCAGCTGTGAGTCTGTGCACCTTCCCCAAGTCCTTGATGCCTCCTGGGGCCCACCCCAAACAGTGGTGGATGCGACCTGGTAGAAGGCACCTTGCCTTTCAGGGAACAATCCTTGGAAGTGTCCCCATTGCCCACAGTGGTGACCTCGAAGTCCTACCTTATATTGTTCTTGCCTCCTTTCCTGTTGCCTACTGCCCCGTTTCCTCTCTCCCACTTCCTTTGGGATCACCTCCCAAGTAAAACCCCTCCACCCAAGTGGGCACAGCAGCACTGTGCTCCATGGCATGGCCGGAATGGTCTGGGATTCTCCTGGGCCTCCATGTGTGGGCATCTGGGGGGAGGAATAAGAGTGAGTGGTCTGTGGGGTGGCCCTCCCGGGACAAGGGGATCCTGGGTGAGGGGAGGTAAGCATGGGCTCCTCTGCGCCAACAAAGGGGTTCTGAAGACCCTCCAGGGCAGAGTGTTGGGTAGGGCCACAAACATGACAGGGGCTGCCTGAGCCCCCTTCAGCACAGAGCGGGGCTGGACAACAGGGCCCCGCAGGGGCAGCCTTAGGGAACAGGCTTAGGTGGGAGGCAGAGGGAGGGGTACAAGGAGAGCAGGCCCCAGTGGAAACCACAGCAGCTGCTTGGTCCTGAGAACTCTGACCCCTCTACCCCAGAGGGCTCCAGAGGGAAAGGCCTGGGAGAAGAGACCCTAGTCTCAGCCCTGCGGACGTGCCCGCGCAGGGTTTAGTTGCTGAGGGCGCGGGTGCGGGTGCTAGAGGATAGCTCTGGTCTCTACCCCCAGAGGGGGCTACGGTTGTGTCTCCCCAGGCCCACGCTCCCCAACGGTAGGCTCCTTCTGGGCCGTGGCTCTCTAGATGCCCGGAGCCACAGGGGGCTTGGCAGGTACTTCGGAAGGGGCCACGACCGGAGCGCCTGGAGACCACCACTGTCCACGTGCGCAAAGGGACGCCCCAGTATCTTCACGCGTGGGCTGCAGCCTCTCGTCCCACGCGGCCCTGAACGAGTCCCGGGGACCCCATGCGGGCGTCCAGCAGCGCTCCCGCCTGGAAGAGGGGCCGTGCCCACCCTCCTGTCTGGCCCTCATCCTCAGGGTCAGCCTTCTCCCCTCCGCGGCCCCATGGGAATTCCATCTGGGCCGCCTCTACCCCTGCACCTTGTAGCTTGCAATGGATGGGTCTTTCTTGGGCCCAGCCCTTTTGTGGAAGCACATCGTACCCTTGTGGGATGGCAGTTCCCACGGAGGCTCAGCTCTACAGCGCCCTTGTGGCGGATTTAATTCCCCCAAAATGCCATGATAAACAAAATATCAAAATCCTAAGTGAAAACAGAATTGATATTACAGATTTTTCCTTTTCCCTCAGGTTGCAATATCACTGGCACTGATCCTGTCCTTATTTAAATTTTTGATATTTTGCTCACCATGGAAATTTCTCATTAACTATTTTTTTCATGTCGCGTTAAAATATTGACCACTGACTATTTTTGGTGCCTTTAAAATGTTTGTCCCCAGGAGAGTGCCTCACTCAACTGACTCTATGCAGCCTGGTCACAGAGCCACGGTGGTGAATGGTTCACCCTCAGATGGAGGGGGGGTCCCACCAAGTCGTTTCCTGCTGTCCCACTGCAGGAGGCATGACAAACCGCCCTGCACCTGAAGTTATTAAGACAGAAGATGAGACCAGGGAGAGAGACAAAGACAAGAAAAGAAACCGAGGAAAACTGAAGGACAAAGGCAGAAAGAAGTGGAGAGCAAACACCGCATGTTCTCACTCATAGGTGGGAACTGAACAATGAGATCACTTGGACTCAGGAAGGGGAACATCACACACCGGGGCCTATCATGGGGAGGGGGTAGAGGGGTGGGATTGCATTGGGAGTTATACCTGATGTAAATGACAAGTTGATGGGTGCTGACGAGTTGATGGGTGCAGCACGCCAACATGGCACAAGTATACATATGTAACAAACCTGCACGTTATGTACATGTACCCTAGAACTTAAAGTATAATAATAATAATAAATAAAAATTAAAAAATTAAAAAATTTTAAAAAAGAACTCTTTTAGAACTTGTGTAGCAGGTTTTCTGGTTTCTACTGGAAGTTTCTTACCCCATCTCGCCCCCTTTCAAGGCTTCCCTTCAAAGAACTAATATTTCTAATCTGCCAGACACAGTGGCAGTGTTATAGAACCAAACTGGGGGTCACTCTCTCTGCACAATAAAACCAGATACCCCCCCCAAGCTTTCTGCCGTGGTAGAAAGGAGGGTGCTTACCGCGAAGAGATACCAGGCAGCTAACTGCTCAAGATCGGCCTCCCGGATGGCTCGCAGGCCAGGGTTTTTAAAGGCAGGGGTAAGTTTCAGGAAAACAGAAGCTACAGGCAAGATCCTAAACGAATACACAGAGGTTACACATTGGTGCCAGCTTAAAAGGATGGGACATCTTGAATGGGGGCTCACAGGTCATGGGTGGATTCAAAGATCTGATTTGCAATTAGTTAAGTAAGAGAAGCTTTGTTTAAAAATTAGCAGGTCAGCAGCAATACCCAAAGGATTATAAATCATTCTACTATAAAGACACGTGCTACTATAAAAACAAGGGGAACATCACACACACCGGGGCCTGTTGGGGGGCAAGTGGAGGGAGAGCATTAGGACAAATACCTAATGCATGTGGGGCTTAAAACCTAGATGATGGGTTGATGGGTGCAGCAAACCACCATGGCACATGTATACCTGTGTAACAAACCTGCACACTCTGCACATGTATCCCGGAACTTAAAGTAAATTAAAAAAAAAAAAACTAGGGAGTCAGTAGAAAAATGTTAACTTGCTAGGGAGAGTGACTTTCTCGAAGACCCTCATGAAGAAACTTAGAACAAAGGACGATAGTTGAACCGTAGTTTATTTCTCCCTCATCTGCAGTCTCTATGCCAGCTGGTCCATTCAGTGGGAGTCCTCAGGGGGGTCCAAGGTTCTGAAAGGCAACTCTGGGACATATGTTAAGACATTATCTTTAGTTTCTATGGGGAAAACAAATATCTCTGGAGCTTTAAGTCCCTTGGCTATTATTCTGAAGCTGCTATTGTTGTTTAACAAGTTACTCAGTTACCTCTGGGTCTACCTAGATGCCTGTAATTTCTCTTAAAGGAACTTTAGGATTTTCCTTATTTCCATGCCTGCGGGTTGGTAGGCCCCTAAAAGGGAGGGGGGGGACTGTTCCATCTCAGCAGTACTAAAGTGTGTAATTCAGTAGCTTCTAAAAACCAATTCACTGTTCATCTTGGATTATCTGAGGAGTTGAAATAATCTCCGTGAGGACCAAAAGCACGTATTCCTTTACAAGCACATTTGACATCATCTTCGGGATGCATGGCAACCCTGCTCACCTCCACCCAGGTGATGACCTATAAGCAAAGGCCAAGGTGTAGAGGAAGATGGTGCTCCCTACAGAGGAGGACTCTCCCTACAGAGGGTGACTTTCTGTGTGATTATGAAGTGCATACCCTGGCAGTCTCAAAACTGGCCCAGTTTGAACAGTAACCTGTGTGATCACCACACATGATGGCTGAATGAGTTATTTGAGCCCCAGAGAAATCCGTTGGGGGCAGGCAGAACACGTAAGATTGTGTCTCTTTTATAGATGAAGAAACTGAGAGTCAGAGAGGTTCCAATCCTGCCCAAGGTTGTAGAACTACTAAATGGAAGAGCCAGGGTTTAAAGATTGATCTACCATGCCATGCAACTGCTATCCAGGTTCAAGGAACCATGGAAAGCCAGTAGGCTTCAAAACAGGTCACACTCTCGCCTGGGTCAACCCACACATCCACCCTAAGGCACCAACCGCACATACAGGCAGGAGCTTTGCAAACCAGAAAAGGGAGGTAACTGGCAGCTAAAGGAGCCAGCTCAGGTTGTCAAAACCCAGTGATATTAGTGGGGTCCCTCTGCTTTTCAGGTGGTAGATTTGTGATAAGAAACCAGAACAAACTTTCTCTTCTACTGAAGTCTGTGTCCCACAGGCTGGTGCTAAATAATCCCCTTTCTGGCCAAGTCCATTTTCCACTATTGAACTAGAGTCAGAGCAGAGAATGAGACAAGATAAGGCAGGAGAGGTGGGCAAGGATCAGATCACATAAGGTTTTGGCCCTGTTAAATATCCCAACAGCAATGGACAGCTGTTGAAGAAATGTTAAGTAGAGGGGTGATATATGAAGAGCCAAGTGTTTGGAAGATGGCGAGGGTGAAAATGGAACAAGAGTGTATGCATTCTGGCAGTAGAGGAGAAACTGACCAGATTTAGTTAAGATTGGCTCTGGGAGGGAAGAGAAGGAAGAAGGGGATCAGAATGCCTTAGGCAGCCGGATCCGGTGGCTCACACCTGTAATCCCAGCACTTTGGGAGGCCGAGGCGAGCGGATCACCTGAGATCAGGAGTTCAAGACCAGCTTGACCAACATGGAGCAACCCCGTCTCTACTAAAAATACAAACATTAGCCAGGCGTGGTGATGCATGCCTGTAATCCCAGCTGCTTAGGAGGCTGAGGCAGGAGAATCGCTTGAACCCGGGAGGAGGTGGCAGTGAGCCAAGATTGCGCCATTGCACTCCAGCCTGGGTAACAAGAGGGGAACTCAATTTCAAATAAAAAAGAATGCCTTAGGCTTCTGCATGGAAAATGATACCTTTCATTTAAGGAGGCCTCAAGCCTTGCATTTTGTGTTGGATAGTGGGCCAGACTGGAGGCGCCTTTGCGAAATTCATGTTAGTTCCTGTGTAAGCAGCTATACACTGAGGTTTAAAGCTCAGAGGAGGAGTCTGGGCTGGAGATGAAAAGAAATGGTGAGTCATCTGAATAAACATGGTCACTGCATTTTAAAACAGCTTCTAGGTGTAGGTTCATTCAAGGCTATGGCCTTCAGCAGAGGTTGGGAGCATTGAGGAGGATAAAGCTTGGCTCATTTCTTTGCACAAAATACAGCCGACCCAGGGAACTGCAATATCGCTTGGAAGTTAAAGGATTTACCCAACAAAATAATGTCTTCATATACTCTATTCCCTTCTCCGTGCTCAGACCAAGTGGGTTCTTACAGTTGTACTGCCCACCACCTTACCCACCATCCCGGCTGTCCAGACCTGTTCACCCCAGTTAATCTCCTCTTGGAAATTCCTCCGGTGGCTTTTGTTTTCAAAGGGCCTGCACAGTGAACCTGAGAGCCAAAGGAAGCTCTGGAGGTGTGATACACCCAGCATCTCTCTGCAATGGACACACCTCCATCAGTGGCTACTCAGGACCCAGCCTGAGGCTGCTGTGGGGTTGACAACACCAGTTCATTTAATCCTTACTGTCTCCTGGGAGACCAGGGTTATCGCCATCTGAGAGACAGGAAGTCCAGGAGCCCTTGTTTGTGACACAGTAGAATCCGGCATCTATGAAGGGAGATGGCACGAGTGAGTCACCGGGGAAATGGGCCAGCACGGCCCGTCTGCAGTGAAATATGAAACGCTCAAATTTACATCTTCGGCCTTGGCTCTGCTTTCAAAAGGAATGTTTTTGCTCTCATTTTCAAAGGGAATTGTTTTAGAATTCTTTGCTGCAAAGCTTGTAAGCACTTTACCCAGGAATACAGGGCCCTTGTTACCCAAAGATGCTGGCACCAAAAAAATAGTCCACTAAAGGTAAATCTGTTTAAAGCAGGAACTGTAATCCATAGGCAACAGTGGGGAGAAAAGCTTATATTTAGACTTTATTTTGAAAAATAAAATAAAAAATTATGAATGCATTTCATCTTATGTTCAATAAAACCTGGTTTATAATTATAATGATCCTTTACTTCTGTTTGGGGATCTCTTCCTTTTTACTATGAAAAACTTCAAGCAGAACAGAAAAGAGAATGAACCTAGATTTCATAGTTGCTAACATTTTTCTCCATTTACTTCTTTTGGCTAAAGTATTTTAAGGTAAATTACAGGTTACTATGACTTTTCAATATGAATCATTTCAAAAAAATGACATTTACCTACATAAACACAGAGCCATTATCATACATAAGAGAATCAACAAAAAAAAATCCCTAATATCATCTAATACTCAAATCGCATTTACATTTCCCCCAGTTAGTCCCCAAAATGTCATATAGTTGGTTTGTTCAAACATAGAACCAATCAAGAACCACTCATTGCATGGAGTTGCTATGACTTCCAGGCAATTTTTTTTTTTTTAGATGGAGAGTCACGCTCTTGTTGCCCAGGCTGGAGTGCAGTGGCATGATCTCGGCTTACTGCAACCTTCACCTCCCGGGTTCAAATTATTCTCCTGCCTCAGCCTTCCTAGTAGCTGGGATTACAGGCGTCCGCCACCATGCCCAGCTAATTTTTGTATTTTAGTAGAGATGGAATTTCGCCATATTGGCCGGGCTGGTCTTGAACTCCTGACCTCAGGTAATCCACCCGCCTTGGCCTCTCAAGGTGCTGAAATTACAGGCTTGAGCCACCAGGCCCAGCCTAGGCCTTTTTAATATACATAATCAACTTCCCAACATGGTAGACGCTTCCCACATGCCACCGTCTAAAGTCATTGATAATCAATAAATAATAAATAAATAGCATTTAAAATGCAGCTCCTCAGACTCATAGCCACACTTCCAGTGCTTACTGGCAGCACTTATATGATAGAGTATTTCTGTAGCCACAGAAAATTTTACTGGACTGTGCTGATCTGGAACATTCCCCTGGCCCTAGGGGCTACTACGTAGGGTTCTACATAACATTGACCTGGTGAAGACATCAGGCCAGTTGTTATGTAGAATGCCCCACCTTCTGGATTTTGTCCGATTCTTTCTTCACGATGTCATTTAATTTGTTCCTCTACTCTGTATTTCCTTTCAACTCCAAGTTAGAGCTCATGAGTTGATTAACTTTAACTCTTAGAATGAACAGGGAGTCAAGATACGATTTTTTCTACAAAGTATGTGCAGACAGTATTGAGTGTGACCAAGTGTTCCTGGCTTCATGTTCAATTTGTCCAGTGCACTCATACCCTATCCCAGGTCTCATGGTTTTGATATTCAAATTGTTCTTTTTTTTTTTTTTTAGTTGAGATAGAGTCTCACTCTGTCACCCAGGCTGCAGTGCAGTGGCGTAATCTCGGCTCACTGCAACCTCCATCTCCCGGGTTCAAGCAATTCTCCTGCCTCACCCTCCTGAATAGCTGAGACAACAGGCACACACCACCATACCAGGCTAATTTTTGTAATTTTAGTAGAGATAGGGTTTTGCCATGTTGGCCAGGCTGGTCTCAAACTCCTGACCTCAAGTGATCCTCCCATCCCGGCCTCCCAAAGTGCTGGGATTACAGGCATAAGCCACAGTACCTGGCCCAAATTGTTCCATTCTGATGTGCCTATTGCACAGAGGATTTCACCAAAGTCACATTTAACTGCTTCAGAAAACTGCGCCTTCTACAAGACCCTAATTTGGGCCAGGCGCAGTGGCTCACACCTGTAATCACAGCACTTTGGGAGGCTGAGGCAGGTGGATCACTAGGTCAGGAGATCAAGACCATCCTGGCTAACATGGTAAAACTCCGTCTCTACTAAAAATAATTGTGGGAGAATGGCATGAATCCGGGAGGCAGAGCTGGCAGTGAGCCAAGATGGCGCCACTGCACTCCAGCTGGGGAGACAGAGTGAGACTCAAAAAAAAAAAAAAAAAAAAAGACCCTAATTTGGCTCGGCAGTATATTTGCACCATGTGAGATTATCAGCGCACTGCGGGGCATGTAACTGGTGGCCAGGGAACACTCCACACAGCAGGGAGGGGCTTGAGAGGGCCTGGGGTCATACATGAAGAGCCCGCAGGGGGCATTCTCATCTGATGGCAACTGCAGTTGCCTCCTGCACGCTCGTAACTGTGGGCTCTCAGAATTTTTTAAAATGCCTCATTTAAGGACTTCTGATTAAAAAAAAAAAAAAAGTTAAATTAAAAAAATAAACTGTGGGAGGAATTTTTATTATTTACTTGAGTTCTTCATTTTAAAAATTATTTAAATGACTCAAATGGTAAGAAAAATAGTCTCGATAAAGGTTTAAAACAGTACACAGGACTGACTGATGAAATAAACTATCCTTCAGCCACACAATGGAATATGGAGCAGCTGTAATTAGGAATGAGAAGCGTCTCTGTATACTGATACGGGGAAAAATAAATAAAGGAAAGAAGCAAACAGAGTAATATAATATGGTAATTTTTAGGCAAGTGATGGGGAAGTAGATGACAGAGAGGTAGCTAGATGGTAGAGCATTAGTCAGCTGGGACTACCACAACAAAACACCATACACTGGGTGACTTAAACAATAGGAATTTATTTCTCACAGTCCAGGAAGCTGAAAGTCCAAGATCAAGCTGCCGGTGGATTCTCTCCCTGGCTTGCAGACAGCTGCCTTCTCACTGTGCTGTCGCAGGTGAAGAGAGAGAGTAAGCAGGCTCTCTGGTTTCTCTTCTTATAAGGACACTAATCCCAACATGAGGGGCCCACCCTCATGACCTCATCTAACCCCAATCACCTCCTGAAGGCCCCACCTCCTAATACCATCACACTGGGGCTTAGCACTCCAACATATGAATTTTGGGGAAATACAGTTTTTGGGGAAATTCAGTTCACAGTGGATAGATAGATACTAATTGATATTATCAAAAGGAACCATGGGCAGATAAACCCCAAACCAAAATGTTTTAATGGTTATCTATTGGGAGGAAAAAGAAACAGGGTGAACGGGAAGTTATAGAAGCAAGATTTCTGTGACTGTAACTGGATAAATAGAGAGTTTGGGAGGACTATAAATGTTTTATGTGATTTTTAAAAATTAAAGTAAACAAATGAATGAGCCTTCCTGCATATAAAGTGACTGGCGTAACCACATAAAGGAAACAATTACTTAAAGTGGCTTTAAAACACAGCGTTTTGACTATACATTCCAAGTGAGAGATATGCTACGGACAATTAAAAAAAAGAAAAGAAAAGAGGAAAGAAATCATAAACAGCATTCAGTAGCCATATATTAGTATTGACATTTTTATTAAATTACTATGTTTCCATCATTAGGAACCATAATTTTCAGCATAAAAATGACATAGTATAAAATCGAGGAAGTTTAAGTAAAAATCTTGTAATCTTAAAAGTGAATTGGAAATTGCAGTGTGAACTCACATTGTGTTTTACTCTTTAAAAAATACGTGTTTTCTAGTTCCGTCCACTGAAAAGACCCAGAAGCAATGAAAACCCGTAACAACGAGCGCACTTACACGGCTGAACTCTCTAGATAACACTTAACAATGAAATTGGCTGACTCTAAATCTAGGGCCAAAAATGTACAAAATGAGACTGGATACAAGTCTCTTATTGTACCAGAAAGTGACAGAAATCAAAGACTAATGAGGTCACGTTAAAGTGATACAGGACGGCACGGGGCCCGCCTGCAGCAGCTGGTCAGTAATGAAGGGATTAATCGATGACGGCAAGACTCGTGGGGAGGAGGGAGTGGGCACTGCAGGGAGGGTCCCAATAAAAGCAGGGTGGGCCTCAATAAGCACAACATGGAGGGTGCGATTTAAATCCCAGAGCTTGTGGGCAGAGCCCTGTGTGCAGAGACAGGAGTGAGGATGCCAGTACCTAGTTATCCCCCAACGTCCCACGCTCTCCCAGGAGGCGGCGGCAGGAAGCGCAGTCTACAGCAAGGGACAGCAGCCGGAGCTGGAGACAGGCTCTGAGAAGAGCAGGTAAAAGCCCACGAGGAGCGGGGACCCTGACTAGCAGACTCAACTTGCAGGAGCATCAAGTGTAGGTGTGGTTCAAGAACCGGGGCCGCTTGCTCTGCGGTAGCAACGTCAAATAACCGCAGCGACGACCAGGGCAGCCAAGCCAGCAGCCGGGACCCCGGGATGCTCGTGGCCCATGAGCCGACGCCCTGCCTTTGCGGGTCCTGTACTTCCGCGGGGTCCGGGGTTGTGCAGCCCCTCCCCAACCAGCCCTTGGGAATCTTCGCAGCAGCAGAACCCGCTGCTTCCAGCTCCGACCAGACCTGGAGAGGGAGAGAGTCCCTGCACAGGGCGGCCAGCAGGGCTACCCAGCTGCCCCAGGGCCTCGGGACCCCTGGGCCTGGGACCCACGCCAGACCCTGCCTTATTCGGTGACCTCCCACCCCAAGACCCTTTCAGGGACCCTTTCTCTAATCCACGACACGGGAGACAGGGGCGGGCCTTTTGCATGGGAAGAGCTCCCCCAGCAGGACGTTTGTTGAATCTGGAGGGAGTCGCCCTGCAGATACCCTGCGGAAGCCGGAGGGGACCCAGGTGCAT